GTCGATGAATTGCAGTTCCCGCCTGAGTCGTTCGTCCAAGGTGCGCGGATTAGAGCTACGAGGTGGACGGTCGTCGTTTTCGTCATCGCTTTCCTCCTCCTCCTCCTCCTCCTCCTCCTCCTCCTCCTCCTCCTCCTCCTCCTCCTCCTCCTCCTCCCCCCCCTCCTCCTCCGCGTCCTCGTCATCGACCTGGTTTCCAGGGGCGGCCGGTGCCGACGAGGTACCTGGCCGACCATTTTGCGTAGGAGTCTGTTTTTTCTTCTTGTTGAACTTCCCTATCGGCGGTGGCGGAACGTCCGTGGTGAACACCCCTTCTGGGATCTGCGTCAGCTTGTCCAGATCGTAGAGTAACTGCAGGTTGTCTTCGTCGGTAGGTGTCGGACTGTGGTCGGTGGATGTCGGACTGCGGTCGGTGGTCGTCGGACCCTGGTCGGTGGATGGCCTAGCGTCGGACATGTCGACGTCGGCCATGTCGGTACACGTCTGCTGCTCTACCGTCGTCCGTGTGCGTTGGGGAGGTTGTTAAACCACTGCCGGTACTGAGTCACGGGTGCGGTGTACGCCCGAACAGTTGCGCGGCGGTCGTCCTCGAGATGTCCCTCAATAACGTCTATCTCGGCGTCGACCTCGAGATCGCGGGGGGTGGTAAACCAGAGACGGTACTGTGTGACGGGTGCGGCGAACGCGCGAAGCGTCAGGCGGTCTTCGTCTTCTTCGAATTCTCGCTCAAGCGCGTCTAACTCGGCTTCGAGTTCAAGCTGTTCCAGCTGCGCCTTGATGTCGGCGTCTACCGAGTCGGCGGGGGGTGGGATGGGTTGCGGCTGTTGGGCCCTCGGGCGACCTCTGGCCATGCGTCGCCGACTTGCTACGTCGACTCGCGACGTGGAACCTGTGCCGACTTGGACGAACAATCGGCTGTCGAGCAACCTACAGGCGCGATGACAGACTGGCAGCTGAAAATTCCAAGGGAACGAGAGAGCAGGAAGGAACGCAGGAACGGACAAGCGAATGAGCAGGCTCGCGGGGCAACGGACGGGTATGGTCCTGAGCGACTACGATGCTGCCGCGCGTCACGCACACCCCAATGCATCCGCCGCCGTGCATGTGTTCTCGTAAAGGCGGCGCACTGTCCGACGTGGCACGTGCCAGGCATGGCTAGCTGGGCGCCGCGCTGCACGGAAGGGGCGTAAGCCAGTGCCATTCCACGTCGGAATGGGCGTGCGTTACGCGGCTTGCGACCGCCATTGGCGCCCCAGTGCAGAAATTAAGGCAAGCAGACATGGATCTCCCGGAGGCCCGGGATGACTCAAGCACGGCGTGGCAACCATGCCGTGGGGGGCCTATGATCGGCGCCGACTTCCACTCGGCGCGCTTGGCAGAGAACGTGCCGTGTGGCCGGGTTTGTGTGCCTTGGGATGATCTGGTCGACACCGACTTCCCTGGCAACCCGCGATGCCACAAGACAGTGAAGATGTGGACGGTCCGATTTGCGCCGCGTGGGTTTGCACCGCTAGAGCGACGCGTGGCCACGACGCCCACGTCGTGGCAGCCTTGTAATCGGTGGGGCGGGTCTCGCACCTCCCTATTGGTCCGCGTGGAGGCATCCGCGGCTCGACGTGGCGAATTTTGTCCGCTGAGATTTCCTTCTCAGGAATCTCCCAGCGCAAACGGGTGTCGTCGGATTGTCGACAATCCCGAGGGCTCCCGAGGCCCCTGGGACGCCATTTGGGCCCGTCTGGGAGCTCGGAGGTCGTCGGGAGGTCGTCAATCCCGAGGGGGGGCCTTGTCCCTTTTGAACGCGCGAATCTGGGCGGCATTTTTCGTCCGCTGAGGTATATCATCCCGAAGCTTTCACTCGGTTCCGCCTTCCCCAACCTCGTCACCCGAGGTTTTCGCCTGGCTAGGATATGCTCGTGGAGAAAGGCTAGGCTTGATTCGTTGTAGAGAACGGGGCTTCTGAATCACGTTCATTGTTCGACAATCATCACAGCCTCCAATTCAACCCTAATTTCCTAACGCTGTTTGGCTGGCTCATTTTCGAGAGTCCACCTGCTCAGGCATACCAACTTCATCGATGGTGGTTCCTAGTAGCACGGAATCGTACAAGGTTTTCCGTTCAGACCGTCGCTGCATTTACAAATTCGTTGCCGACATTGTCGTCACCGTAAACCCAACCTACCGAGTGCACTCGCTTATCAGTAGCCATTAGTAAGCCACAAAACCACAGTAGCTCCTGCTAGCTACAAAGAAAACCATTACCCTACAATCAGCCACAGAAACGAGTCGACCTCGTGCCCATGTCGCCAGGCGCTGCTAGGCTGCTGCATTGTCAGTCTCGAGTCCGTCCGACATGATCATCGTTCTCCCTCCACCGCGCTCTCCCACCTCGTTCGGCGCGCAGCTCCCACCGCTGCTGCTGCAGGTGCTGCTCCGCACTCCCGCCTCGCGTCGAGACGGCGCGCAGCTGCTGCGCAAGTGACGCAGACCTATTTCCCGCCGCAGGCCGATCCTGCCGTGGCCGCGGCTACGTGCTGAGATGAAATGCAGTGACGATTCTCACCGTTGGGCACTTGATCGATCCCGTGCTGCGAAGATAACTGATGCGCGCAGAAGCATTGGCGACCCATGTGATGTGGGTGCATATGAGATTTATTAAGGGCCACTGTCGCGTTGGGTTCCTCACACGCCATGACTCCCCTCCTTCGCGGAAGGTTCCGCGACAGTGGCGCGCACTATGCCTGACCCCATTGTACAAGGACCCATCACGCCAGGCCATGGCGCGCCGGGCCTCGACGGAGGCCATGCGCGCTCATCAGGCCTGACTCCTGAGGTGCTGCAGGGGAATGAGCGAGCGCGCCTTGGCCTGAGGACTCACTCCCCTACAGCACCTCAGGAATCAGGCCTGATGGGTGCGCTCCTCAGCCAGGCCTCGACGCCAGGCCAAGGCGTGCTCGCTCATTGAGGCCGCTGCAGTCTTCCTTGCCAAGGCTCGCTTACAGGCATGAAACATTGGCACAGGTCCAGGCCTGGAGGGGTGGGGTGAAGTGGGGTCCGTTGAGTTGGGGTCGGGTGAGGTCGGGCCGGGTGGGGCCGAGTTTGGTCAATTCGGGACAGACAGGTTGGGCGGGTCGGATCGGGTCGGTTCAGGTCGGGGCGATTTTGGGTCGCCTCGGCGGGTTTAGCTGATTCCCTTTTACCAGCTGGAGGAAGAAGCTGCAGTCTCCGTTGCTCAGGTTCTGTGCTGCTCAATGAGGCAACATCATGCTGTCAAGGGTCGTGGATGAACAGCATACTGAATAGGATGCTCGTGCTTCTGCTGCTGGGTGTAAGGAGGCAGCAGGAGTGGGGAGAGAATGAATGGCTTGAAATTTTCCTCTGCACGTGTGTCTGGCACTCCACTGCCTACCGCACCACAGCCTACCGCACCGTTGCCTACCGCACCACAGCCTACTGAACCACAGCCTACTGCACCATTGCCTACTGCACCATTGCCTACTGCACCACAGCCTAATGCACAATAGCATTACTGCACCACAGCCTACCGTACCACAACTTGCCATGCCTTTGTCATATCCCCTCTTTGTCCCTGTCACCTCCCCTGTCCCCCCGCCTCCCTGTCCCCCCCACCCCTGCCACCACCCCTTCCGCACCACAGCAAGGCCAATACCAGCCATCAGAGGCGGAATCCCGTGACGCTGTGTTGAGGCAGCTGTAGATCTGGCTCAAGCCGTGGTTCAGGTGATTGCAATGCGCTTCAGTCAGGTGATTGTAGTGCTGGTTCACCCTTGCAGGAGTGTGTTGACTGACTTCGCTCCATGCATTTACTCTCTCGCTGCTTTACCCCCACCTTGCCATCCAATCCGCACCCCCATCCTAATTATCATGACCCAGTCTTTCCTTGCCGTTTCCCTCCCTGCCTCCGTTCACTCTGTCGTGCCTCCACTGCCATACATCCATCTACCTCATCCAATCCCCACCTACCAATGACCACCCCTCCTCTCTGCTGCCTTCTCTGTCCTTCCTTGTCATAGTCCTCAACCCCTCTCCTGCTGCTGCCCCCACTACCCCCTCTCCCCCCTTTCCTTCACCCCTCCCCCACCCCGTTTTCCACCCACAACCGTTTCCTACCCTCAACCGCTGCCTCGTTCTCCCAGACTCCCTCCCTTAAGTCTGGGTTGCTTTCCCTTGTGTCATCCCTTGTTTCTTCCCTCTCACCAACACCCCCAATCACCGCTCACTATCCCCCTGACACCAGGAGCCGATAGTGGAGTGCTGTATACAACGTGAGCCACCCGCTCCTGCACTGCAGCCCAGCTGCAGTCTGCTCCTCTGGTAGACAAGAGGGGGGTGTGGGGGTGTGGCGATCATCGCCCCATACAGCATGAGATGAGCCACCAGCTCCTGCAATGCAGCCTGGTTGGCTCTCCTGTTCCCCCGCTGTGCCACCAGCTCATACACTCCAATGCCCCTACCGCCACATATCATCCTCCCTACAGCATGAGCCACCAGCTCATGCACTGTGCTGCAGCCCGCCTGCTCTCCGGCTCCTCCAATGTGCCTCCGGCCCAGCCTTACTATTCAGTAAGCGGACCTGGGTCAGGCTGGCCCGATCCTGGCCCCTTTATGAGGCCGGCCCACCCTGGGCCAGCCCGGGCCCGGCCCATGCTCATGCCTTATACTACATCCACGTTCACAGTGGCGATAGGCTGTTGCTTTCCCCAAGCCAGCCTCCATTGCTGCCCTTGCATTCTTTCCTCTTCCCCGTTCAATCCCTCCTCGCCGTCCTTCTCCCTCTCCCACTCTAGGACAGTTTGTTCGTGTGCCCCTAGCTGCCCCTAGCTGCCCTGCTTTTGCACCCCTTCCCCTTACCAACCGTCCCACCTTCTCTTTAAACAGATCAAGTGCATTGGCGCTGACATTGTTTAGGTGGCACGACCAGCTGAGGCAGGAAGAGCAGCTGAGGCGAGGCTGGGGGCATACGAACAAACGAGCACTTGAGCATGGGAGCATGGGAGCACGAGAGCACTGGAGCACGAGAGCACGAGGGCACTGGAGCACGGGTGTATGGGAGCATGGGAACAGGGATCTAGAGAGCAGGGAGCAGAAATCATGGGTGCATGGGAGCATGGGAGCATGGGAGCACGGGAGCACGGAAGCAAGAAGCATGGAGGTTGCACAATCCGTAGAAGCACATGCAGTTGAAGCAGTGGTCATAGTACCTGCATGGTGAGTGGGGTAGCAAGAGAGGGGTGAACTGGTGAAGGAGCTGACCACCCTCCTGGGTGGTCGTAACAGGCGTCGCATTTATCTTTTCAACCCCCCACCTCCTCCTCTTTCTTCCTTTCCTTCCCATTCCTCATCCAATTCCTCATCCCATTCCTCATCCCATTCCTCATCCCATTCCTCATCCCATTCCTCATCCCATTCCTCATCCATTCCTCATCCATTCCTCATCCCTTTCCTCATCCCATTCCTCATCCCATTCCTCATCCATTCCTCATCCCTTTCCTCATCCCGTTCCTCATCCCGTTCCTCATCCCGTTCCTCATCCCTTTCCTCATCCCTTTCCTCATCCCATTCCTCATCCCATTCCTCATCCCATTCCTCATCCCATTCCTCATCCCATTCCTCATCCCGTTCCTCATCCCTTTCCTCATCCCATTCCTCATCCCATTCCTCATCCCATTGCTCATCCCATTCCTCATCCCATTCCTCATCCCATTCCTCATCCCATTCCTCATCCCATTCCTCATCCCGTTCCTCATCCCGTTCCTCATCCCGTTCCTCATCCCGTTCCTCATCCCATTCCTCATCCCATTGCTCATCCCATTGCTCATCCCATTCCTCATCCCATTCCTCATCAGGGAGTTCACCCATCTGAATGGAGGCAGGTAGGGCGACGGCAAGGAAAGACAGGGTGATGATAATTAGGATGGGGGGTGCGGATCGAAAGGCAAAGTGGGTGTACAGCAGTGAGAGAGTTTATGCATGGAGCGAAGTCAACACATTGCCATAAGGGGCAGCCAACACTGCAATCGCCTGACTGAAGCTCACTACAATCACCTGAACCAAGACTTAGACCAGACCTGAAGCTCCCCCAACACAGTGTCACGGAAACCCGCCTTTGATGGATGGTTTCGCCTTGCTGTGTTGGGGAAGGCGTGGTGGCAGGGGTGGGGGGGGCAGGGAGGTGGGGGGGACAGGGGAGGTGACAGTGACAAAGAGGGGATATGACAAAAGCATGGCAGGTTGTGGTACAGTAGGATGTGGTGCGGTAGGCTATGGTGTGGTAGGCAATGGTGCGGTAGGCAATGGTGCGGTATGCAAAGGTGCGGTAGGCAATGGTGCGGTATGCTATGGTGCGGTATGCTATGGTGCGGTATGCAATGGTGCGGTAGGCTGTGGTGTGCCAGACACACGTGCAGAGGAAGTTTTCAAGCCATTCATTCTCTCCCCAATCATGTTGCCTCTTTACGCCCAGCAGCAGAACTATGAGCATCATATTCAGTAGCCTACTTGCAGGTTCATCCATGACCCTTTACGGCATGCTGGCGACTTACTGAGCACAGCAGATCACAGAACCTTAGCAACAGAGACTGCAGCTTCTTCCTCCAGCTGGTCAAAGGGAATGAGCCGAACCCGCCGAGGCGACCCAAATCGCCCCGATCTGACACTCTGACCCAACTCGACCCCGCCCGGCCCAGCCTTCACCGGACCCAAACCCAACCAACCCAGCCAGACCCGACCCGACACAGCTCCAACAAACCTCACCCCACTTCACCCCACCCACCCCACCAGACCTGGACCTGTGCCAATGCTTCATGCCTACTGTAAGCGAACCTTGGCAAGGAAGACTGCAGCGGCCTCCTCGAGATGCTGCAGAGGAATGAGCGAGCGCGTCTTGGCTTAGCGGGATGGGTCCTCATTCTAGAGGGGTGTGGAGTGTGGATGGGAGGGGGGTGAAGATACGCAAGGGGGGTATAGGAGAAAAGGTAAAGCAGAGGGGGGCAACTCGTGCACAGGAATTTACTGGCAAAGAGATCAGTGGTCAGCGTTTGATTGCATCACAGCACAAGATAGTGCACCGCACTGCAACACATCGCACTGCACTGCACCACACCGCTCTATACCACACTCACCTGCATGTCATTGCTCCAGAGTGACAGCGTTGCCCCTCCAATGCCGTCTGACCATGTCATTGCCCCAGAGTGCACAACAGCTGGGGGGCTGCTGCTGCACTCCCAGCTGTTGTGGCATGGTCCGCATGGCATGTGCTTGATACTGCTGCTGGTGCTACGCCAGTGCTGCATCCTCCCCCTCCTGCGCTCATGCCTTGCCATGACATGACGTGAAATGACGTGACATGTCATGCCATGCCATGTCATGCCATGTCATGCCATATATTTGACCATAACATGCACCATAGCATGCACCATGACATGTCATGCCATGTGATGTGATATAAGGGCAACGTGCCAGACAAGAGAGAAATCATGGGAAGAGGGGGGGAAGAACAGCGCATCGGATGCAAGGACGAGTACTGGTGATATCCGCTAGTGTGCACAAGGTACTGAGAAGACATCTCTTTCGTATGTTCAGACGCACAGTGAACCGTGAACACGGAAACGTGAATCAACCAATTGAGCTTAACACAGTTTTGAGGCGCCTCAAGAGCTCCATGGGGTTTCCCGAACAAGCCCTCAAAACCCACAGCGGGCTCCACACTTGATGAAGACCCCTGCTTTGAGTCGCCTCAAACCTCGTTTCAACTGGAGACCCTTCATAATGATGGCCATCCCCATCCCCGCATTCCTATCCCCCCATTTCTATTTCTCCCTCATCCCCCCTTTCCCGATTTATGCTTCCGCCGTCCCTACTCCCGCCTCGCCCTACTTCCCCCGTTGGTCCTTATTTTCCCTGTCATTGATTTTTCCCTCCCATTTTCCCCGTCCCTGAAATCCCATTCCTCCCACACCCCCCCATCTCCACGCCCATCTATCAACCTCCACTTTCATTTCGCAACGCTCCGAGCACCACCGTAACCTCGCGCGTCGCCATCGCCGGTAGCACTAAAACCCGCCGCGCCGAACGTGCCACGTGGCGCACCCGCAACTTGGGAGAGGCTACAGATCTCGACACGCGCTCCGCAATTTCCGAAAGGCTACGAATCTCGACACCTGGCGCGCGAGCGACCGATGCCTTGGTGAGGCGCGCGACACAACGGAAGGGAAGCCACGTGGTTAACTCGACTTCAAGCTTCGTACAATCTGAAACCAGCACTCCTATTAGGTTGATAACTTGGAAAAGTCGGTATCCGGGCCGCGTAAAAGTGGTGAGTGGGAGTGAGGGGAGGAGCACGAGGCAGGTCTCGCGAAAGACCAACTGGCTTGAGTTGATCTCGCATGCGGTACGTTGCCTTGCCGATGATGGCTGCTACTCATGGTGGTCTATCTACATGGTGCCTCCTGTCGTCACGACACTTCACGGAAAATATTTTTTTCTCTACCTTGCTTCCTACAAGCTCCTTCACTGAACTTGTTCGTCACTCTACCTGTGAGGGAGAGGTGGTAGTGCACCTCTAGAGCAGTTGGGTCTGCTGAAGGAAAAGCAAATTCGTGCTGGAGGTCCACGGCAATCCAATCCGATAACACTGAACTGAACTTTGGGAAAAGATCAACCAGGGGCCGAACAGTGCCAGAGGGGTGATCTAAGTAAGGCCGGTAAATCTCGACCGTAGGATTTCAACCCAGAGCTGCCCAAAGGACTAAGCGAACAAACCGAACCGTGTTTTAAATATATTTTCTAAAAGAACCAAAGTTTGTGCTTATTTTATTTTTTAATGGGTTTGACCTCCGTCTACTACAACGCTCGCGTCGCCTTCTTCTGGAAGTAAAAATCAAATTGTGAGTACGTATAACACATAATATTCTGGGTGATACATATCACCCACACGACCGTAAACGCAGCAGAAAATAATATATACCCATTCGGAAACGGATGCGACTCGGGAGGCATCAATCCTAAATACCAGGAAGTTTTCCGTTTTTAGGGTTGATCCATCCCGAAAATGCATCCAGGTTCCCTATGAGTTTTAGTTTTTTTTGCTGCCCTAAGAGTTCCCAGTAGATCGGCTCGCTAAACGACGCGCGAGCGAAATTGCGATCCGGTACATGCCACTAATAACATAATTACGTGCAATAAACGAAGATCCTCTGTTAATACCTCTTCAAGAAGCAGTTTGGTGAGTTACGGGCCTCTTGGCCCCTGGTCGATCACCCCTCTGGCACTGTTCGGCCCCTCGTTGATCTTTTCCCCTGAACTTCCCTGTGTGTGCGGGTTGGTGTTTGAATGACACGACTCGACTTGCACGTACGGTATTGCCTTTCTGGCACGAGGTCCCAGAGTCACCACACCGTCATCCACGACAAAATCCATACATTCTCCTTCGCGCATTGTTTCGTCCATGAAAGAAACCATATCGCGTGTTCGTGGCATCGTCTTTCTCAGGTCGCTTTTCGGACCTCCAAACAACCAACTTGAGGAAATGACGGACCGCCCCGGTTTCGGGTTTCCGATTCCTTTGGGCAGTGGCTTTGACACCGCCTTGCTTTTCCGCTCGCTTCCAATTCCTTGGGGCAGCTGATTTCGACATTTCCAGTTTTTGGTGACCAGGAAAATTATGAAGTTTACCTGGTATTAGTCTAGTGGCCAGTGGAAAAAAAAAACCCTTTCAGAGGGCTGGCCATTAGGGAGACATCAACCCTAAACACCTTCCTCATGGTGTTTAAGGTTGATGCCTCCCAAACGGCATCCCCCCCATGAGGGGTTTATATTTTTTGTCCCATTAAATAAAACAAAGTTGTAGTTTCTGGACTCCAAATGGGAAAATAGCGTAATTTACTGACCGAAGGTATCGGACGCGAGCGCGAAGCGAGGCGCTGTCAAAACCACTGCCCAAAGGAATCGGAAACTTGAAACCAGGACGCTCCGTCATTCCCTCAACCAACTTCCTAACAAAGTTGGTCGTCGCACACGCCAAACTTGTTAGGAGGTTGGTTTTTGCACCTCCGAACAAACAAAATCCATCAGTGACATTGTCTGTCGCAAATGTACAGTGGCGGTTCGCAGCCAGTAAAGTGGCGGAACATTTCACCTATCTGCGATGACCTGTCACTTGTAAACAAATGGTAACACTTGGTCGCAGCTGTTCGGGCAGCTGATACAAATTTGTTAGGAGGTTCACATCGCATGCAGTCGCACAAAGTCTCAGAAAATTGGAAAGAAGTCGCTTGTTAGGAAATTGATTGTTTGGAAGTTGCCCGAAATGCGACCTCATTGCTCCACCAATCATGAAGTGGCCCAGTCAAGTAAGATGGGACTTCCGAAGGGAGAGGTTACGGGGTCAAACCCCGGTGCGGGCGTGTTCTGCCAGCCCCCCAGAAGGGGGTTTCGCACTGCCCTTCTGGGAGTGGATATATCCCTACCGAAAGCCTCATCGGAACTCGGTCGTCGGACCCGTTTTGCCAGTGTCGACGGGAGGGGTCGTCGGAGGAGGGCCTGACGAGGCGGGCGACTGACGCGCGTGCGGGCCCGCCAGCCTGGCCCAGGGCTGGGCCGAGCGCACGACCGCTGCCCTCCGAAATTGAACAGCATTGAACAGCGACCCACGTTACCGGGCGGGGTCGGCGAGCTGGCGACCCCTCGCGCGAGGGAAAGTTACCCTCGCGCGAAGGCAGCCCACACGTGCTGCCTGCCCGCGAGGTCCTAGTAACCCATCGCGGCCTGCCCGGACGGGCAGGCGAGGGCCGTGCGAAAATACGGGCCCCCCTCGGGACACTCGACAATTTCGCGATTCGCAGCGGTGGCGCCACGTGTTCGCCCGTGGCTTCGCATCAAGCGCATGCGAAATTTTTGTCGAGGCGGAAATAAATTCTCTCCCATCGCATGCATTCTATCGTCGCGAACCGCTACGAAATCGACACGTGTCGATTGTAGCGTCGCTCCGCGCGCAGGAGGATTCGTGCGTCCCCTCGCCGACCTGGGCCAATGGACGCGAAGTCGACGCTCTACCAAGGCGGAGACGGACCACCTGTGCCACTTGCGCATCCGCCCTCCGAGCACTGCCGAGCCAGGCCCTGCACCCTTGGGCGATGCTGAACGGGCCTGGGGGGGGGGGGGGGGGGGGGGCACCACCTCCTTTTCTCTGTGGAAGGTGGCCTCGCTCCGCATTTTCGGCATCTCTTTCGGATTTTCAAACATTGACAGCTCTGCGCCTCCCCTCTCTCCTACCAGAGCCGTCCGCCTCTTTTCTTAGTCGACAGATATGGAGCCGATCTCCGCCGCCGATAAGTCGGCGCCGACATCGGCCGACTTTCCCCTTCGGGTGCAAATGGGTCGCGGTCTCAGCTTCACCTTAGAGTGGAACGACTACGCCGTCCTTCGCGACCAAAAGAAAGAGTTCACCGAGAGATGCTTTGGACTCGCCATCAGGTGGGACGCGGGTAGTCGCGGTAGTCGAATAGGGTAGATGTCGGTGCCGACCAACCCTAGTAGGGCGCACTGTCGCCGATTGTCTTCCGACGTACGTCGGCGGGCGCGTTTGACGAAGCACGTCGACATGGCAGCGTTTGCTTACCAGCCATGTTCTCATCCCTCGTGCTCACTCGTGCGCTCAGGTTCGCTTGGTTTGACATTGGGCGGGACGACCTGCGGTTGTGGGTGCTGGGGATCGGCCCGCTTCGATCGGCCATGAAAGCCGCCGACCATTCTTGCTTTGCTAAGGCTTTCGACGCCGACATCGCCGCTATCCCGCTGAAATCGACGTGAGCTGTTACCCCGTTGTCCAGTCATCGTTTTTCAGTGTCGGCCGCATCAACGCCTTATGCTGTGGTCGACGCCGTCGTTTATTGCGTGTGCAGCGGCGGCCCGCTTCCAGGGTCACACTGCAGCGTCATAGCCATCCTCTACCCAGGAGATGTGCTGAAGGCTGAGGGACAGGTCTGCAGGACATCGATCCGGCACATCGACCCGCACACCGGAAAGGGGAAGCACCGCGACGAGGCCGTCCGCGTCCTGAAGTAAGTTGTGAATAGTCGTCGCTGTCGAGTTTGTTAGTCGCCGACACAGGGAATCTCATGCTGACCTCCTCTCCACTACGTTGCTCCAGGCTATTCCGCACGGCTGCCCTGGCCGAGCTGGGGCGTCCCGGTAGGAAGTGGGACGGGGCGCCTCCATCACAAGCAGTGGTGGAGGAAAGGCTTGCAGACTGCGACGACCCTATCCGCGACGTGAGTTGCACGTTTAGGCTCCGCTACGGTCTGCGCGTATCTGTGTGCACCGCTCATATTGTGCCGCGCTTGCCTGTGCTGTATGCAGAAAGTGCCGGGCACAGTGTCGGACGGGCATGTCGGCACCGGCATGCTTGCCGCGACGTCGTTCGGGTGGGTGGCCAAGCAGATCGGCCTGCTGACGGGCGACAAGGCTCGGAGCGCTGTGAGCATCGAGAACATCAAGGTCGCGGGTTTGAGGTCGCTCCGTGATAGCATGGTCGATTACATCTGCCATCGTGTCGCCGAAAACCGGATAGCGGCGCCGACTTCAGGCGCCGACGGACCCGCCGAGGGTGCGATTGATGACGACGGCGCGGAAAGTCAGACGGCGCCCCAAGCAGCAGCTGCCGCCCTCCGGTGTCCGCGGAAGGAGGAACCGGTGGAGGACTAGGCGACGATGCGGCAGGCGCAGGGAGGAAGGAAGAGGAGTTGACGGACTCTGGCTCAGAGTCGGAGTCGGAGGGGGAGGAGGAGGACGAAGGGGAGAAGGAGAATGAGGACGAGGAGGATGACGAGGGCAAGGACGAGAACGACGAGGTGGTGGAGGTGGTGGCTGGGAAGGACGAGGCGGCGCACGAGGAAGGGGTGGAGGAGGAGGTGGAGTACGAGCTGGAGTACGCAGACGGCACGGTTGAGGCGGTGGGGTCGGCGGACGAGAAGAACGAGGAAGCGGAGGATGGCGATGCGGGTAATGCTACGGGGTCGGCAGGTGAGGGGAAGGAAAAGGATGAGGTCGGCGTGGAGGCAACGACGGAAACGGGCCAGGAGGAGGCGGCATGCGAAGGTGCGAAGGTGTCGGTCGACGCCGGCGAAGGTGCGAACATCGCGGGCGTGCAGGAGACGGGGGACGCATCTGGTCGGCAGGGCCCTGCAACGGACGACGTCGAGGAGCTGCGACGGGAGAACTTGCTGTTGAGGGCGGAGAACGCTCGGCTGCAGGGTTTGCTCGATGCGGAACGGGCTCGGCTGGACGCGTTTTTTGTTGGGCTACGTGGACTCGTCGACCACCTGAAGGAGTTGGCCGAGCAGGTCGACGACACCGAGAAGTATGCGGCGGAACAGCTGCGAAACGCGGCGGAGGCCATGTCGCAGACCATCACGGGCAACATCACCGGCAGCTTCGACGAGGCGTGGAAGACGATGAAGACCTTCGCGGAACAGGCGTCGGCGTGGCTGGAGGACTTCGACAACCCGGAGGGAAATGTGGCGTATCAACGCGCCTTAGCGGTCACCACCTTGGCCGACCACGTCGACAAGGTGGTGGGCGATGCGCAGGAGGATTTGCGGGAGCACATCACGAGCCAGTTGTCCGCCGCAGCTGTCAACATCGCCACAGCTGTGACCGGCAGGCTCCCCGTGCAGCCGCCGCCACCGCCTCAGCCCACGCCGCCCGCCCTCCCGGAAGAGCTCTTGAAGTCGTTCAAGGCCGACATCATGAAGACGGTGACGGAGGCCACCGAGCAGTCGTTCGTTGCGTCCGGGATGAAGATGTTGACCGAGATGATCGGCACGGTGGCGCCTGGTCGACGTGGTTCGTCGCCTTCGGCCAATGACGCCGACGCCGCGCAACAGAGGGCGGCCGACAAGCAAGGCCTGAAGAGGTCGGGCGACGGTGACGACAAGGAGAGCTCGAAGCGGAGCAAGGGATCGGACGGGAGCCGCGTCACGAAGCCTCCTGCGCGGAGCGTGGTCGACATGCTGAAGGCGAAGGGGTGGAAGGTGAGGGGAGGGTCGACCAGCAAGGGAAGCGGAAGCGGGGGGGCGGACGGGAGACCTGCCGACGGGATCGCGGCTAACGTCGATGCACCGCCTGGCCCGCCTTTGGACGCCGAGCAGACCCATCCTCAGGCGAGCGGTGGGAAGGACGCGGCCCCCACTGCCCAGGCGGCGAAAGTCGGAGGCGCCGGAACCACCCAGGGGCCGTCTGACGCGGTGCCGGCCAAGGGCAAGGCGATGTCTGCGTCTGCTACGGTCGCCGGAACCGGCACGGCGAAGGCTGCCTCTGCTTCAGTCCCCGGAACCGGCAAGTCGAAGGCTGCTTCTGCTACGGTCGCCGGAACCACCAAGTCGAAGGCTGCTTCTGGTACGGTCGCCGGAACCACCAAGTCGACACCATGTAACCCGCCTGCGGCAACCACCGGGCCCGCCGGCCAGACAGGTGCGGGGAAGCATGGGGAGGCCCGTGCGGCCCCTCCAGCTCCAGCAGCCCCTACTGCCGCCAAGGTCGACGCGAAGGCTGCTTCGGCACAGGGGCCACCCGGGAGTAACGCGCTTAGGGTGTTGCTCCACCGCATGGAGTCCCACCGCCCGGGCGCGCAGCAGCATCATGTGGTCGACGCCGGCCTCGCAGAAATAGCACGTCGCTCCGTCACTCCGCACGTTGCCGGCAAACCGTCCGATGCCCAATCTGCCGCGCGGCCGGTCGCCGCCCCACCGCCTGCGGACCCCAAGTCCGCGTTTCTTCGCGCCCATATAGGCGCACGCAAAGCGGCAGCTCCACCAGTCACTCAGCCGGAACCCGGCACAAGCGCGACGCCGACGGCTGTAAATGCGACCGCATCCTCCCCAGGAGCAGCTGTGGTCGATCTGGCGGCGGAGAGGGGAGTCAGTGCAGCGCTAGCCACCGGCGGCCGCGCCGACAGGCATGCCGCCCTCGAATCCGTCCTGGCCCAGTTTGAGGCAGCAAAACGGCCCGAGCATGCCCCGGCACTGGCCATCGTGGACACGGCGCATGCGGAGCCGTCGGCGACCAACACAGGGGGTTCGGCGGAGCCGACGGCCGCAACGGGTGTTGTCGCCGAGGGAAATGCGGGACGGAAGGGTAAGGACGACACCGGGAAAGGGAAGGCGGTGTCGGCGGGGAAGGAGATGGCGGAAGACAAAGGGAAGAAGCCGGCACGGAAGACGGGCGGCAAGGGTAAGTCGGCAAAGAAGAAGGAGGAGGAGGAGAAGGAGGAGGAGGAGGAGGAGGAGGAGGTGGGGGAGGGGGAAGAGCATGGACGCCGGGGTCATGGCATCCGCCGAGACAGGTCTGGCGACGGGCAGGGGTGGGTGGGCGAGATGAAGTTCAAGAACCAGAATCGGTACATCGGCAAGTCCCGCGACAAGATGGAGCTGGCCTACGAGCACGCGATTGCGTACTCCGTCTACGACGGCTACGTGAGCAAGGTGCTCATGAAGGAGCTCACCGCCTTGAAGCCGGGAGAGTTGGATGAATGGAAGGCGGTGTGGGAGGAGGTCAAAATCCTGCCGACCGGGATGTGGACGGTGATGTGGGCCAGAGGCTTGTGCCATCCGAGAGCAAGGTAAGTCGGTTACCGACATGCCGTGTTTTGACGACCAAGTCGGTGTCATTAATTCTATGTGTACGTGTTCGCTCGGCAGGTTCGACGACATACTCGGCAGGTTCCGTGGGTACGCAGGTTCGGGTGATGCGCTTCATGGCGTGCTCTGGCCGGCGATGTGGTTCCCCATCATCGAGGACACGGAGGAAGGCAGGGCGGAGACAAATGCAAACATGTCGGCGATGGTGAATCGCGTGTCGATGTGCGCGGCGTATGGAAAGGTCGCGGCGAGAGTCGCGTATGGGAAGGTCGACGGGAGCGCGGAGGCGACCGCGGGAGAGACGACGGATATGGAAGGCGCGGACAGGAAGGCGGACGAGAAGGTGCAGATGGGGGCCCAGGCGTTAGCGGCCTCTGCATGCGCCCTCTGGTGCTACATGTCGACGCCGGCGTCGGTGCTCGGTGCTGTGGGCGAAGGTAAGGCGGCCGCGATTCTGGCAGGTGCGGGGAAGGAGAGGGGCGAGCACTTCGCGATGGTCATGCACGTGGTTATCGAACACGCACGCACTCGGCAGGCTCCCGCGGGGGAGGTTGCACATAACGTCGCGCCAGAGCTGCAGCGCTATGGAGTGGCCAGGGCCTTCGAGGCGGGCATTGAGGAAGACGAGGCCGACATGATCGCAAGAGCGACGGTCGAGACCTTGGCGTTCTGGGGAATGTGCCCCCTCGACGGGCCCAAGCTCAAAGCGGAGGGCATCGATGTGCCGTGTGACGCGAAGATGGAGTACGACTTGGATCACAGGGGGAGGAAGGGGGAGAAGGTCAAGCAGGCCAAGGGCAGCAAGAGGAAGAGGTAGTACGGATGCGTAGTCGGCGGAATGATGTTTGCTAGGTTGCTAGGGTGTGTACTATATTGGTATGGACGGCGCCGATTTTGGCGTAGATTTGTTAAATGTGGCCTTTTTTTGTTCAAGTGCTGTTCGTTTCAATATTGGGCTAACAACTCTGTGTCCCTGTATAACCATGCTAGCCGAATATCACCCGATGAGCCAAGTCGGCGCATATGTCGACATGATATGCACATGATACGTCGGCGATAAGCAGTGCAGAAACATGGTTGTCGGCGTCGACAGTGATTTTTAGCCACACCTACTGTACTGGGCGACAAACAACCAACATCGGCAACATCGGTTCGCATGGACATTGATGTGGGATGTTTACAAACTACCAGGGACATCAGTCGGATGGGGCGGGGGGGGGGGGGGGGGGGAGGGGGGCTGTTGAAGTCTGCCAAAATCTACGCAGACGCATATCCCATGAGGGACTTCATGCCGTCTTCTTGCGCTTGGTCGGAGGACGCTGCACGGGTGCGGTCGGCTTGGCCGGTGCTGTCGACTTGGCAGGTGCGGTCGGCTTCGCCAGGTCGGCCTTGGTCTTCGGCATCTGCTCCTCCCAGGTGTCTGGAAAGAGGGCTTCGAGCCATTCGGCCGGCTTCAGATTGAGCGCGACAAGCCCACAGGCGAGGCGAAGCTTAGAGACAACCTTGGGGCCCAGCCCCTTGACTCCCATGCCAGGCTCTTTCGACTTCATCGGTTCCGTTTTCGGGTTGAGCACCGTGAGGGCGTCACAGAAGGTCCCAATGCCCGGTGCCGCGATCCTGTTCAGTGCGTCGACCACGGCCTCGGTGTCGGCGTCGCCGTCGCTCGCGCGTAGCTGGCGCACCGCATCCATGGCCCTCATCATGCGTCGCACTTTCGTGTCGAGCCCACCCTGCGTCGCGCCCTTTCCTGTGAGGAGGGTGTGGCGGGCGACGAATCCCTTCTCGGCGACCCTGTCGCAAAGGCGACGGGTGTCATTGGCGGTGGCGGAATTCCATAGGCGCCAAGCGTCCCTCACAGTCTTTGCCTCCCGCCACGGTTGCACCACGTTGAGCTCGTAACTGGCCTCCTCGTCCGTCTGTGGGGGGGGCGGGGGTTTGTCATCCCCTTTCTTGGCTCCAGCCCCCGTGCTGGCCGACTCCGCCGATCCACCATCGCTGGGAGTCTGCGCGGGAGCCGACGGCGGGGCCACCGGCACTCTCCGTGCTTCCGACAAGCGGAGTGCCTCGGTGACACGGGCTAGCTCGGCGGTGAGCCCAGCGATGGCGTCGTCGCGCTTCTCGATCTCCTCTAGGAGATCAATCTTCTCGTTCGCGGCGCGCTCTTTCTCCTTCTGCATCTGGGCCATGAGGGACATGTTGTAGTACTCGGTGTCCATGCGCACCGAGATTTCCTGCAGCAGTAGGAGGAGAAAAACGTGAGGGCCGCGGTGGTTTGGTTTACACTCCCTACTGCACGTCGGCGACAGTATCGTCGACTTACCTCTGGCTGTATTTGGGTCGGGTCCCGACGCTTGTTGATCGTCTCGGTGTCGACGCTCTCCACCCGTTTCGCCCAGTGCTGGAAGAGGGGGATCCGGCAGAGCTTGGAACCTTGGACGTACGGGTGCCATGGTGTGCGGACTAGCTTCACCGCTAGGTCCTCGGCGACGATGCGGCGCAGCATCAGGAGAGTGCGCCAGAAGTGCACCGCGGCTTTGTCGGCGTCTGACCCCTCGACAGCCTTCCCTTCCGCCTGCCATTTGTCACGGGTACGGGGAGCTCAGAAAAGGTCGGCAACACGACTCGGCGGCAAGCTACGAGGGCGTCGACTAACATACCTCCTTCAGCATGTCGTCGACGCCGGGGAATATGTGCTCGGCGAGGAGCTTCAGGAGCTTCTCGGAGGGCGGCACCCTGCTCCGACCCAAGAAGTAGTCCTGCTTGTACCCCGAGTACCCGGCCTTCTTCATCACCACCCCCACCGGAATGGCGGTGATGTACGCTCGCGTCATCTTGTCGAGAGCCCAGTGTCCAAGCTCCGCGATCTCGGCGCGCGGCGTGCCGTCGATAGCCAGCTCCTGGGCCCCGCCCGCTCGAGCGGCGTGCACGTTCCTCTTGCAGAACACCTTGTTGGTGTCCCACAACTGCCGCGTCCAGCGTTGGTGGGTTGCCGCAGAGAGCTCACCCTGGTCGGTGTCGTTTTTGGCGAAGAACAGGTGTTTCTTGTACCAGCTAGCGCGTGTGCTGGTGTCGACCGGCGGAATGAGGCGGACGCCGTGAAACTGACCGATCTGATCGAGGACGAAGTGCAACCACAGGCCCGTCTCGCCGACGGCGCACAACTCCGCTTCGAGGTGCCGCGCGGCGTAGCTCTGCTGCAGACGAGCATCCTTGGACGTCTTCGAGTTCCGCGCTCCGATGACCATGACGACCGGCTGGTTCTCCGGGTTGATCGAGGAGGTGCTCGCCAGTCGGTACAAGAAGATGTCGGGGAGAGTGATCTCGCGGATGCTTGCACCGCGCAGGAGAGAGTGGTGGGAGAGTAGCGTGAGCACCTTCAAGAGAAGAAACCTCCACAGCGTCTGCGAAGGACCCGTACCCCGCGGGTTCCACACCTTGGCCGCCCACGTTGGCAGCACCCTGAACATGATCTGGCGGAACTGTTCGGCGGTGTAGGTATCGCCGATGGTTCCGCGACGGCGATCGGCGCAGTTCCTGCCAACAATGCCATGGGCAAGGGGTATTTAGGGCGGCGTCGACAAAGATCATGACAGCAGGAGAGTGGTCGACGTAGGTTAAAACATAAACTCACTTGATGTCCCGCTCGTTCTTGGTGCGGATCATGTACCGCACCTCCGACCTGACCACCGATATCTCCCTCATGATGCTCAGTTCCGTCTCCCGGAAGAGCGTCGCCTCCACTCTCGCCGCCATCTGGCATGCCTTTATGCGCCCGAGGAGCGTGTGTACCGTTGTCGACTGCACCGGCTGTGTTCCTGTGGCGTTGTCGGCCCCCTTGCCGGACTCGGCATCGAGGTTCAACTCCCGAATCATGTACTTCACGTATGCGCGAAGCCGGTCCTTGGTGACCCTAGGGCCGTGCAGCCACACGTGAGACCGGGGGACATCGGCCTCTTGGTCCCAGTTTTTCTTCTTGTTCTCCCGGATGTAGTGCCCTATCTCGTCGACGTGCTTAAGCCTGTACTCCTGCGGAAGCTTGTTGCGAATTTGCTTCAACATCTTCGCCGCCCACCTCTTGTAGTGATAGATCCACGAGGTGTACTGCCTCAGCGTGCTGTTCCTCTCCACGGTTTGCAGGTGGCGAAGAGCGTCCATGACGAGCACGTCTACGCACGCGTAAACCATGTCCTCCTCGACGAAGTCTGCCGCTCTCCACTGTTCGCGCGGCACCGCCAAGTTCTCCTGGTCCTCGTCCTCGTCCTGGTCGAGCAGTATGTCGATGAATTGCAGTTCCCGCCTGAGTCGTTCGTCCAAGGTGCGCGGATTAGAGCTACGAGGTGGACGGTCGTCGTTTTCGTCATCGCTTTCCTCCTCCTCCTCCTCCTCCTCCTCCTCCTCCTCCTCCTCCTCCTCCTCCTCCTCCTCCTCCTCCTCCTCCCCCCCCTCCTCCTCCGCGTCCTCGTCATCGACCTGGTTTCCAGGGGCGGCCGGTGCCGACGAGGTACCTGGCCGACCATTTTGCGTAGGAGTCTGTTTTTTCTTCTTGTTGAACTTCCCTATCGGCGGTGGCGGAACGTCCGTGGTGAACACCCCTTCTGGGATCTGCGTCAGCTTGTCCAGATCGTAGAGTAACTGCAGGTTGTCTTCGTCGGTAGGTGTCGGACTGTGGTCGGTGGATGTCGGACTGCGGTCGGTGGTCGTCGGACCCTGGTCGGTGGATGGCCTAGCGTCGGACATGTCGACGTCGGCCATGTCGGTACACGTCTGCTGCTCTACCGTCGTCCGTGTGCGTTGGGGAGGTTGTTAAACCACTGCCGGTACTGAGTCACGGGTGCGGTGTACGCCCGAACAGTTGCGCGGCGGTCGTCCTCGAGATGTCCCTCAATAACGTCTATCTCGGCGTCGACCTCGAGATCGCGGGGGGTGGTAAACCAGAGACGGTACTGTGTGACGGGTGCGGCGAACGCGCGAAGCGTCAGGCGGTCTTCGTCTTCTTCGAATTCTCGCTCAAGCGCGTCTAGCTCGGCTTCGAGTTCAAGCTGTTCCAGCTGCGCCTTGATGTCGGCGTCTACCGAGTCGGCGGGGGGTGGGATGGGTTGCGGCTGTTGGGCCCTCGGGCGACCTCTGGCCATGCGTCGCCGACTTGCTACGTCGACTCGCGACGTGGAACCTGTGCCGACTTGGACGAACAATCGGCTGTCGAGCAACCTACAGGCGCGATGACAGACTGGCAGCTGAAAATTCCAAGGGAACGAGAGAGCAGGAAGGAACGCAGGAACGGACAAGCGAATGAGCAGGCTCGCGGGGCAACGGACGGGTATGGTCCTGAGCGACTACGATGCTGCCGCGCGTCACGCACACCCCAATGCATCCGCCGCCGTGCATGTGTTCTCGTAAAGGCGGCGCACTGTCCGACGTGGCACGTGCCAGGCATGGCTAGTTGGGCGCCGCGCTGCACGGAAGGGGCGTAAGCCAGTGCCATTCCACGTCGGAATGGGCGTGCGTTACGCGGCTTGCGACCGCCATTGGCGCCCCAGTGAAGAAATTAAGGCAAGCAGACATGGATCTGGTCGACACCGACTTCCCTGGCAACCCGCGATGCCACAAGACAGTGAAGATGTGGACGGTCCGATTTGCGCCGCGTGGGTTTGCACCGCTAGAGCGACGCGTGGCCACGACGCCCACGTCGTGGCAGCCTTGTAATCGGTGGGGCGGGTCTCGCACCTCCCTATTGGTCCGCGTGGAGGCATCCGCGGCTCGACGTGGCGAATTTTGTCCGCTGAGATTTCCTTCTCAGGAATCTCCCAGCGCAAACGGGTGTCGTCGGATTGTCGACAATCCCGAGGGCTCCCGAGGCCCCTGGGACGCCATTTGGGCCCGTCTGGGAGCTCGGAGGTCGTCGGGAGGTCGTCAATCCCGAGGGGGGGCCTTGTCCCTTTTGAACCGCGAAATTGGGCGGCATTTTTCGTCCGCTGAGGTATATCATCCCTCGATACCCAGCGAGGCATGTAAATAAGTGGGTAGGCGGATTACGATCGAGAGCTGGGGGTAACCCAAAGGGGGCTCTCCCCCCTCCTTTACCTCATTGCTCCACCTATAAACATCCACCTAGCCCCGTGATTTTTTCGAGACACACTTCCCCAAACCTGGATTTCGCGCCATCATCAGTCAACCAAACCTTTCTAACGTCTCTCTGAAGCGAAGCCAAGACAAACCATACCACATAAGAATTGCCGAACCGAATACAAACCAATCGGAGCCCTTCGTTGCCAACCAAACCTCAGGTTTGACCTTCCCTGCTGGTTCACCTCCTACCAAGTCCAGGCTTTTTGAATCCTCAGAGAAGTCCCCGACTCACTGCTGTATTCACAACATAGAAGTGAGGCTTCTGTGTCATTTTTCAGTGAGGCTTCCCTGTGTCAGTGGAGCTGGCAAAAGTGGTTTGTCACATAAACTCGCAGCTTGCATGCTTAATGTTTTACCCTTACCACGCTCTTTCAATTTCTATTGATTAGCGAGAGCTGTTGAGCCAAGCCAGACGTTAGCAAGAAGATAACTTTTTCTTTTTTAATCAGAGCGGAAAGGTAAAAAGCGTCGCCGGCTTTCCGCGATCCCAACGTTCTCCTCTGAAGCGATGAAGGAGGCAAGCATGGTAGAATAAACCGCTCTTAGAGGACGTTCTGCACGAAAACCTGTTTGCATCAGTCTGTTATGAAAACCGCTTACAGAGCTATAGGCACGCGATGGCGCGTGTTCAGAGTGGCGGAGAAGTCTCAAGATGCTGCATTGTCGACATGCATTCGTAACGGAAACAGAAACTCGTAAGACAATGTGTATCACTGGAATCGAGTAGGAATCCTAATCTATAGGCAGCTCCTCGAGTTTTTTCTGCTCTGTCGCACATGGCATTCGAGGTTAAATTCAGAATCCCAGCTGACCTGATTCAATGCGACTTTTGAGGCGTCTCGAAAAAGGAAACCTTATCGGCGCTTACTCGAGTTTTGACAGCTTTTGTCGCATATCATGGCGTTCGAGGTCAGATTCCGAATCCCAGCTGATCTGATCCGACGCGGATCGCTGGACGACAAAAGCAGCGGGGGGTGCAGAAGCCGTAGTGACATCAGCAGTCACAGTGAAGTCATCAGAAATGAAGGGTATGGCTCTTCTGAAAATAACCAATCCGCTTCATCTCACGTTGTCGTAGCCATTACAATTTCACCTACGGAGCCTCTTAGGTCAGTCTTCAACAGACTGTTTCAGTCACATCTGCCACACTGCTGCTTACCGTGCGAGATGAATCAGCAGTCGGAAGCACATGTCGGGGTTTCTCCGGCGCAGCAGCTCGTCCGCTTCATGGTGCTTGGGCAGGCAGCGTACCTTTCTCCTCAAACAACAGTACAGCGAGCCAAGCTTACAACGGGTACAACCATCCTAGTGCTCCCCGTGGAAGCAGTGGATCATGGAGAAGACCCAGGTGAAGTTGAATCAGCAGGCGTTGCAGGAGGCTTGAATGGTCCAGCTGCGGCACCTTCTGTGGACGTGCCTCGTGTTGCCGCTACCGCCACTGCTCCTGCTGCTGCGGATGCGGCGCCTGCTGATGCTGCTGCTGATGCTGCTGCTGCTGCTGTTGCTGCTGCTGATGCTGCTGCTGCTGCTGATGCTGCTGATGCTGCTCCTGCTAATGCTGTTACTGCTGGTCCTCCTTTCGGAGCTAACACTGCGTCACCAGCTGCTGCTGTGTGGACTTCTGCTGCTGCTACCGTGCCAGCACCTGCTGCTGCTGCTCCCGCCCGCTGCATCGACTACAGCAAGTGGGACCATTTCCAATCCATCAGTGACGAGGAGGAGGAGGAGGAGGAGGAGAAGCCGAAAAAAGGAGGAAAGGGAGGAGGTAAAAGCAAAGGTGAGCAGAAGGGGAAGGACCAGATCTTTGCCGCTGGCGCTATGGCCAGTGCAAGCACTTCCTTTTCTCGCGTTGTTGGAACGTTATGGGACGACCTGACACTTCAAAACCCTCAAGAGCTGACGTAGGAATCCCAAGACGAGCCAAGGAGAGCGGGAACGGTGGAAGAACGGAAAGGAGCGGTGACAGAGACGGAAGGAGCTGAGGAAGGTTCAGAGAAGCTTCAGCTGCTGTGTCGGGCGGACATGGTTCACTACTTGGAGGTGGGAGAAGGATGGGACGTGGCTGTTTGTGAATGCTGCTTCAACCGCGCTGTGAGCCAGCGCACACAGCACGCCCTCAACATGACAAATCTGAAAGATTTTCGTACTCACCTACGACAGCAACAACCTGAGTCCATCCCCCTCGCGCCCAACCGCCAGACCCTGTCTATTTATGAGGTCTCGTCGAAGGTTCCCCTGCCAGAAGCAGCTGCGCAGCTGGGGACGGAATTCGTACTCAAGTGTGAGATAGCCCCTTTGCTCTGTGCGGAAGCGATGCTGCTCGAGTGGATGGCTGAGCCTCGTGTGGGCGTGCTCATGGACCTGGGGAGGATCAGATCCCGCCTGCCTATTATTTTAAGTGCCACAGATGCCTCGACTAGTACGAAAGCTTCCCCTGCTGCTTCTGCCTCTTCTGCTGCTGCAGCGTGGTCCGGCTGTTGGCGCTGCAGCAGTTGCTGGGCTGCCTACCGCCATGCTGTCAGCTTCGCTGCCTTCCTCGTGCTTGTAGCAAGGTGCCCACGGTTTGTGACTCTAAGCAGGGCTCATGCATCGAGTCATAAAAAGGCCTATCCAGCCATTGTGACTGAGCTGGGGGCAGGCAGGCAAAGGGAGCAGGACATTTTTGCTTCCATACTGGTTCAAATCCTCGGAGTGAAGCAAAACAAGGATCTGAAGGAAGGGTTTGGTGTTCTCATGCAGAATCTGCTTTCAGGTGGGCTGGAAAAGGTGCATGCAGAGAGGGAGGGGAGAGGCGGAACAGGAGTTGGTGGCGGTGGAGGGCAGATGGAGCATAATGGTAACCTGGAAGGGCCATGGGGCAGTGCGGATGGCGGTGGCAAGGATAGCAAGGATGGGTGGAGGGAGCATCTGAAGGGGCGCGTGTGGGAGAGGTATGTGGATGGCATGGCTTGGATTCTGGAGCATAATGGGGGGGAAGGGAGGGAGTTCAGTTGCAGCCACTGCAGTGAGGGGGGCAGCAGTAGCAGCAGCAGCGGCGGCGGCGGCACTGATGGCGGTGGCAGCAGCAACAGTGTGGGCGCAGCGAAAATTCCGAAGGGCATGTATGTGAGTGGCGTGGGTGCTACTGACTTTGCTCTTTCCGTCGCATCTGTACTCTCCAAGCCACAGTACTGGAGGGAGAATGATTTTTTCTTCCAAGACGGGAACACTGTGAGCAAGACATGGGTGGAGGATGCAGCTATTGAAACGGCCAGGGACAGGCTGAGGCGGAGGCCACGGGAAGGAGGCACAGCAGACAGAAGTGCAGCAACAACGGCATCAGCACTGCCAGCAGCATCGGCAACACCACCAGCGGTGGGCGCAGCATTTGCCTCCAGTGGTGCTTCTCTGGTGGGACCCGTGCCTGTCAACACAAACTCTGTGATTGCAGTCTTCACGTATCGTGCTGCCTGCATTCTTCAGTGGGCCCGCACCTATGGCTCGGAAACTCTCCCTTCTAACCAGTGCTGCAAGGACAGCCCACAGGGGAATGTCCGGCCCATGCGCCATCCGCTTCGGGACCTTCCGAGCCTGCTGGTCAGGCTCGGCGCCTGTCCCAAGCCTCTGGACCAAAGCAGCTTCCCCTTGGAGTGGGAGGAATGGCCTGAGGGCGATGAAGCTGCGTTGAAGCTTCCTGATGACCCGAGTGCGAGATCTTTTGGGCTGGGGATTGTGGAGCAAGCAAGTGGGGCAGCAGAGGAGCGTGGGGCAGGAAAGAAGGGCGGACAGGGGTCAAATGCACAAGGCACGGTTGGGACCCGGAAGGGTAAAGGAGGAGACAAAGGGAGAGGCAAGCGGGAGGTAAAGAGCAGAGGGCGTGGGGAAGGAGACAAAATTAGAGGGCTGATAAGCGAGGACCAGAGAGCACTGCACCAAGTGCTCACAGAACTGATGCCGCTAGTGCAGAGGAAATACCCCATCGTTCGCTGCACTGCCGATGCTGAGTTTCTGGTGGAATTCGCCGGGTGCATGATCAATCCACCTGCATGCTCACAGTGCTTTCATTGCCTTGCTGACTATAACCATCGCATCCCCTTCCTCGGGGTCGTCGCCAATTACGCCTACCGACCTGCGTCCATCCTTTTCAACCGCTTTGTATCCGTCTTCCCCCCTACCTCTCCACAATTCGACCAGCTCATTGCTCGTATGGGTCTGCCGCCATTCCCTGCCAACCTGCCTGGCTTTCTAAAGTCTCCTGTGGTGCAGGCGCGGGCAGAGCAGCACCCCGTTATCTTCCTGGTGAGCGTGGCTTACATATGGCCTCTCTCCATCCTGGGAATCACGGACTTGCAGAATTACCACTGGTCTCACTGGGAGGAGGAGCAGAAAGAACCGGGGAAGGGCGTGAAGAGTGGTGGGGAGGTTATGGAGGATGAAGAGGCGGATGACGGGAGGGTGTGGGAGGAGGTGCGGACGTGGTGCCTTGCAGTGCTGTATGCGTGGTCGGCCGTCTGGAAGCTTGTGGTGCGAGAGGGATTGAGTGACAAGTGCAAGGGCAGAAAGGAGAGAGCGAGTCGGGACACAGGGGATGAAGGGGTGCATCTGACCGAGAGGGTGCCTGAGTTGTGGAGAAGGGCTGTTATTCCTCGGTTCTGTGAAGACGTGCAGAGTTTCGATGGCCTTTTTGGTGCGAGCAGTACGAGCAGTGGTAGCAGTGGCAGCAGCCGGAGCCGGAAGAGTGGTAGCAGTGGCAGTTCTAGTCGTGTAAGTGACAGGCGAAGCAGAAACAGCAGTATTAAAGGGAGCCAGGGGGGTGATGGGAAGGGCAAGGAGGGGGAGGTGCCGGCTTATTTAAAGGCATGGCCGGGGGGAGTGAATCTGGTGGCATGTCTGCGAGAGATGCTGCTGGGGGAGCCGTGCTACCGCCCTGCCTCCCCTGCTGCTTCTTCCCCTGCTGCTGGTAGCACAGGAACACTGCTGAACAGCAGAGCTACTGGAATAGCAGTACCTGCTGCCTCGTTTACCCCTTCTGCCTCGTCCGCTCCTGCTGCCCCACCCACCGTTGTTGCACCAAACTATGCAAGTGCTCCTGTTTCTGTTACAGGGTGCACTGGTAATGCTGCTGGTGGGGAGCGTGTGTGCGGTGCTGTGGGGTGTGGAATGGTGGAGGGTAGTGGTGTGACGCTGAAGAACTGCTCTGGGTGTGGCAAGGTGGCGTATTGCAGCAGAGACTGCCAGAAGTCGCACTGGCCCTCCCACAAGCTCACATGCCGCGGCAGGACCAGCGTGAAGAAGAGTGGGTCGAATGAAAGCAAGGTGAGTGGAATGTGAGTGGCCAAGGTGAGTAGCAGAATCGCTAGGATTGTGATTGGAACGAGGGAGGTGACGGTGACAATGGGAGTGGCAGGAGGGAGGAAAGGTGACAATGGGACTGGCAGGAAGGAGATGAAAACGAAGGGGGGATTTTGGCAGGAGGGAGATGAAGGTGACGGACAGAGAGGTGTTGGGTGCAGCAGAGAGGTCTGCATCCTTCCTTGAAGCTGCGATGTGCTTTCGGTCCACGACCAATGTCTCACCCAGAGAGTTGCTTGGAGTTCTGAATAAATCCGAAATTTAGGTGCGGGTCCGACTTTTGAACACCTGCTTTCAACATTCTACAGAAAATTAGGTGTGGGGCTCCTGCTGCTAGAATCCCTTTTCAGTGTAATTGCAGTGCGGTGGTACATGTCCTGTTGTTGAAACTCTGGCTCCTTTCCTCTGTTTCCTGCTAGAGAATGGGCTGGTATGTTTTCTTTGTTTCCTGCTAGAGAATGAACTGGTATGTGTGTGTCTTGGGAATGACGTACGTGGCAGCTGATGGAATCAGCCACTCTATCTTCTGAATAAGGTCTTTTTGAGTCTGCGTGTCGTACACCAGCTGTCCATCTCTTTCCGCGTCCTCTCACCTACCTTCCCCTCCTTCCCCTCATCCCCCTTCCCTTCATCCCCCTTCCCCTCATCCCCCTTCCCCTCATCCCCCTTCCCCGCTGCCTGCACTGCCTCCTGTTTCCTTCCCCTATCCTGCCCTTCTCACTACTTAACCCTTTTTGCATGCATTTACCCGCTTCCTTGCTCACTCTTGCTCTGGACAGGCCTGAAGCACTTTTGAGACGTCTCGAAACACACTCAGTACATGAATGGCCTTCATTCAGCCATCGCATCTTGCTTGGAGGGGTGCCCTGCCCATGGGGCATGACCATCAGGTCCACTGCTGGATGGGGCCTACAGTAGTTAACATACAGAATCTACAAAAATAAATGTGTGTTGACAAGCAAGTATTTTTCCTAATGCAGCGTCGTTAGCAATGCTCGGCGGATTGTCGGAGACACTGGTTGCTGAGTGGAAAACTGATTCATGGGACCTTATACAACAGTTTGAGAGAAAAATGTTTCTCTTCAAGTTTCGCATTTATAAGATTTATAAGATACAATTTACCTCCCCGCGCTCTCCCCTGCCACTACCATGCGTGAATCCCTCCCTCTCGCCTCACCCTCCGAAGCTTCCCCTCTTCCCTCTCCTCCGCCCTCACCCTCTCTGCCCACACCCTCTCCGCCCACACCCTCTCTACCCACACCCCCGCCGCCTTCCTTCCCTCCTCCGTGGTTGCTTCCCAGGTGCCCAAACGACCCCATGAATCGCTCCTCCATGCGCTCAATGGCTCCCGCCACACCACCACCACCGCCGCCGCTGCTGCTGCTGCTGCTGCCACTGCCCACCTGAGGTCTCTCCTGAGGAATCCCCTGAGCGCCTACCCCCTCGCCACTGCTGCCGTGTGCTGCTCCTGTGCTGTGCTGCTGGGGCAGTAAGGAGTAGAGCGCCGAGTGCAGGAGGGCTGCAGGTGGGGCACAGAGAGAGGGGGGGCAGGGGGAGCGGGTTGTTGAGACACCGCAGAAGTCGTGTGCTGCTGCTGTGCTGTGCTGCTGCTGTGCTGTGCTGCTGCTGTGCTGTGCTGCAGGTGGGGCACAGAGAGAGGGGGGGCAGGGGGAGCGAGTTGTTGAAACGTCTCAGAAGTCGTGTGCTGCTATTGTGCTGTGGTCCATTTATGAGAATTCTCAAAAATCGCTCACTGGGGCAGCAAGGAGTAGAGCGCCGAGTGCAGGAGGGCTGCAGGTGGGGCACAGAGAGAGAGGGGGTGGGGGGAATGGGTTGGGAATGGGAAGATGATGGGAAGGAGGCACAGCAAGAAAGAGGGCGAATTGAGTTGCAGTGAGGCAAGAGCGAGCATACTTTTGAGTCAACTCAAAAGTCACCTCGGAGGTTAGGAAGGGCACAGCAAGGAGGAGGACAAATTGAGTTGCAGTGAGGCAAGCGCGAGCATGTGAGAGTGAGGGCATGTTAAAGCAGGTGTGGCATGTGGGAACAGGCTAGTCATGTGGGAACAGGCTAGTCATGTGGGAACAGGCTAGTCATGTTAGAGCAGGTTTGGCATGTTAGAGCAGGTTTGGCATGTGAGAACAGGTTTGGCTTGTGAGAGCAAGTTTAGTATGTCAGCATGTTTTGGCATGGTAGATTAGGTTTGGTACGTGGGGTGAGTGGGAATGGTAGGTTAGGTTTGGTACGTGAGAGAAGCTTTGACATGTGGGGTGGGAGCAGGTTTGGCACGATACAAGCTGGAGCGGGAAGCAGGTTGAGAGACAAATGTGGCAGTCCGTACCAAGGCAGTCCATGAGAGAAGGCGAGTGGGCATGTGAGTGCAAGGGGGCATGGACACATGTTATAGCGAGTGCAAGGGGGCATGGCGACATGTTATAGTGAGTGCAAGGGGGCATGGCAGCATGACCCCACCCAGTGATGCATGTGGGCATGGCGGCAGGCCCCAGTGGTGCAAGTGGGTGCAAGTGGGTGCAAGTGTGGTGCAAGTGTGGTGCGGCTCACCCAGGGCGAGGGCAGAACGGTGTGGAGAGCTGCTGCCTTGATGCGATGGGCGGGCGAGGCACGGGTGGCTGGGGGGGAGACGAGGATGCAAGGGGAGATGAGGTGCGACTCACCCAGGGGGAATGCAAGGGCAGCACCGGCCACGGTGTGCAGCGCAGCCGCCTTGAGGCGATGGGCGGGCGAGAAACGGGTGGCTGGGGGGAAAGAGGCAGTGAGGACACGAGGGAGGTGGGGTTGGTGGGATCTGAGGAAAGCTGTACTGGAGGGAGAACAGCAGTACACAAATTAGTCAGTGGCAGCAGGAAGAGAAAGACTGTAGAAACCAGCTTGTGTGGAAGTTGTGGAATTTAGAGTGCCAAGTTTTGGCAAACATGTTTTGCACGTGAGCGTATTCGGCCGTCTTTTGTGCAAGACCGGACTAGCAAGTTGGTGGGACTCCTGGAGCCGCTTTCAAGGTCGACCTGATCCAACCCTTTTCTTGCTGCCTCCTGTTCCTCTCCTTATCACATCTTCCACACTCTCTGACTGAGAGAGTATGTGAGTTGGGGGGGGGGAGTGTGATGCAGCAATGCACGGCCACTATGGCCATTGACTCACCAACTAATCCAACAAGCCCAGCTATCACAGACGGCACCAGCGCCTACAGTGCTTGCTTTTGAGGCCCCAAACCAATGCACAGCAACTAGTCATTGACTCACCAACTAATCCCACAAGCCCAGCTGTCACGGCACCAGCGCCAACAGTGCTTGCCACGTCAGGCTCACACAACTCCTCCCCCTGCCATCCCCTGCTGCTGCCCCTGCCACCCTCCTGTGTGCTGTGTGCCAGCATGAGCGCGCGGAGGCTCATCTGAGAGGCCGAGAAGACGCCTGCCAGCGCACCCAGCTGCGCACCGCCCGCCACCGACGCCCTCACCACCCTCACCAGCCGTCGCTCCGCCGCCAGGCGAGCCGCCGCGTAGCGCGACGACGGGGAGGAGTGTGGAGGGCCGTGAGGGGCGTGGGGGGCTGCTGCTGCGGTGGAGGATGGTGGTGTGTGGTGGTTCGAAAATGGAGATGAGGCCTGGAGGGCATTGGGAAGGAAATGGAAAAAGTTAAGGGAGGCAGTGTCACATGAGCGCACGGAGGCCCATCTCAGCGGCCGAGCAGACGCCTGCCAGCGCGCCCAGCTGCGCCCCGCCCGCCACCGACGCCCTCACCACCCTCACCAGCCGCTGTTCTGCTGCCAGGCGAGCTGCCGCGTAACGTGACGAGGGGGAGGAGGGGAGTGAGGGGGCCCGTGCAGGGATGTGTGGGGCGCAGCTGCTGTGGTGGAGGGTGGTGGTGTGTGGTGGTGTGTGGTGGTTCGAAAATAGAGAGGAGGCCTGGAGGGTGTTGGGAGGGAAAGGTGCAGGGAGGCAGTGTCACATGAAAATCACAAAAACAGCCTGCCAGCGTGCCCTCCTGTGTGCTCTCTCCACGCCAGCATGAGCGTGCGGAGGCCCATCTGAGCGGCCGAGAACACACCTGCCAGCGCGCCCAGCTGCGCGCCGCCCGCCACCGACGCCCTCACCACCCTCACCAGCCGCTGTTCTGCTGCCAGGCGAGCCGCCGCATAGCGTGACGAGGAGGAGGCGTGAGGGGGGGGGCTGCGGTGGAGGGTGGTGCTGCTGTGTGGTGCTGATGGTGGCTGGGGTGCATTGAAAACGGAGAGGAGAGGAGGCCTGGAGGGTATTGGGAAGGAAAAGTGAAGGGAAGTAGTGTCACATAAAATTTACAGAAATAATCATCCAGCTGCCGCCCCTCTCCACTGCCGCGCCGCCCCTCTCCACTGCCGCCCCTCCCAGCTGCCGCCCCTCTCAGGCGATGAGGAAAAGAGGAAGAAGCGTGACGACCAAAGAGTGCTCTGCAGGCAACCAATGTGCCAACGCGCCGCTCCCACCTGCTCAACTCGCCTGCTCTACCCGCCTGCCACTCACCTGATAGCTCTGCACCAAGCACCAATCGTCTCCGCCTCTTGACCCGCCTCAGTCGTACCCCTCGGTGCCAGTTCCCAGCCTAAGCAAGGCGTGCCAGGCAGCACGAGCAGTGCGGCTTACCTGGGTGCGGCTCACCTGTGTGCGTCTCACCTGTGTGCGGCTCACCTGTGTGCGGCTCACCTGTGTGCGGCTCACCTGTGTGCGGCTCACCTGTGTGCGGCTCACCTGGGTGCGGCTCACCTGTGTGCGGCTCACCTGTGTGCGGCTCACCTGGGTGCGGCTCACCTGTGTGCGGCTCACCTGGGTGCGGCTCACCTGTGTGCGGCTCACCTGTGTGCGGCTCACCTGTGTGCGGCTCACCTGTGTGCGGCTCACCTGTGTGCGGCTCACCTGGGTGCGGCTCACCTGTGTGCGGCTCACCTGTGTGCGGCTCACCTGTGTGCGGCTCACCTGTGTGCGGCTCACCTGTGTGCGGCTCACCTGTGTGCGGCTCACCTGTGTGCGGCTCACCTGTGTGCGGCTCACCTGTGTGCGGCTCACATGGAGTGGAGTGGAGTGCACCTCACCTGGGTCCTGGCGGCCTCTCGGCTGGCCCCCAGCATCCGGCAATGATGCCCGTGGTGGTCTGCCCCCACTGCTGCTGTGCCTCACCTGCGTGCGAGCAGTGCATCTCACCACTCAGCACGTGGAGTGGACCTCACCTGGGTCCTGGCAGCCTCTCGGCTGGCCCCCAGCATCATGCCGGCAATGATGCCCGCGGTGGTCGTCTGCCCCCACTGCTGCGCCGCCAGGGGAGGCACCCACGCCTGGCACAGGGGGTGACGGACAGGGTTGGGCGAGGGGGAGGGGGGAAGAAGAGAGGGGGGATGGGGGGAAGAGATGCCCACGGTGGTCGTCTGCCCCCACCGCTGCGCCGCCAGGGGGGGCACCCACGCCTGCCAGGAAAGGGGGAGGGGATGGGGGGTATGAGGGGAAGAGTGGAGCACGATGGCAGGCAACAATGCCGGCAATAGTCGTCTGCCCCCACTGCTGCGCCGCCAAGGGGGGCAACCACGCCTGCCAGGACTCGGGAGGGTGCGACAGACAGGGTTGGGTTGCGCAAGGGGGAGGGGATGGGGGTTATGAGGGGAAGAGAGGAGCGCAATGGCAGTCAACGATACCAGCAGTGGTTGTCTGCCCCCACTGCTGCGCCGCCACCGCCGGCACCCACGCCTGCCAGGGGGGCGCCTCAGGCAGGGTTGGGCGAGGGGGGGGGGGGAGGGAAGACGGGAGGGGGGAATGGGGGAGGAGAGGAGCGCGATGGCAGTCAGCACGTCTGAGACCCGGGAAGAGAAGGGTTGGGGGAGGGGGAGGGGAGGGGAGGGGAACGAGGGGAAGAGAAGGGTTGGGGGAGGGGGAGGGGAACGAGGGGAAAGAGAAGGGTTGGGGGAGGGGGAGGGGAGGGAGGGGAACGAGGGGAAGAGAAGGGTTGGGCGAGGGAGAGGGGAAGGGAGGGGAACGAGGAAAGAGAAGGGTTGGCGAGAGGAAGAGGGGAAGGGAGGGGAACGAGGGGAAGAGAAGGGTTGGGCGAGGGAGAGGGGAAGGGAGGGGAACGAGGGGAAGAGAAGGGTTGGGCGAGGGAGAGGGAAGGGAGGGGAACGAGGGGAAGAGAAGGGTTGGGGGGGAGGGGGAGGGGAGGGGAGGGGAACGAGGGGAAGAGAAGGGTTGGGGGAGGGGGAGGGGAAGGGAGGGGAACGAGGGGAAGAGAAGGGTTGGGCGAGGGAGAGGGGAAGGGAGGGGAACGAGGGGAAGAGAAGGGTTGGGCGAGGGAGAGGGGAAGGGAGGGGAACGAGGGGAAGAGAGAGGAGCGCGATGGCAGTCAGCACGGTGGAGACTCGGGGAGGGGGAAGGGAGGCAGCGGAGAGGGGAAGGGAGGCAGCGGAGAGGGGAAGGGAGGCAGCGGAGAGGGGAAGGGAGGCAGCGGAGAGGGGAAGGGAGGCAGCGGAGAGGGGAAGGGAGGCAGCGGAGAGGGGAAGGGAGGCAGCGGAGAGGGGAAGGGAGGCAGCGGAGAGGGGAAGGGAGGCAGCGGAGAGGGGAAGGGAGGCAGCGGAGAGGGGAAGGGAGGCAGCGGAGAGGGGAAGGGAGGCAGCGGAGAGGGGAAGGGAGGCAGCGGAGAGGGGAAGGGAGGCAGCGGAGAGGGGAAGGGAGGCAGCGGAGAGGGGAAGGGAGGCAGCGGGAGGGGAAGGGAGGCAGCGGAGAGGGGAAGGGAGGCAGCGGAGAGGGGAAGGGAGGCAGCGGAGAGGGGAAGGGAGGCAGCGGAGAGGGGAAGGGAGGCAGCGGAGAGGGGAAGGGAGGCAGCGGAGAGGGGAAGGGAGGCAGCGGAGAGGGGAAGGGAGGCAGCGGAGAGGGGAAGGGAGGCAGCGGAGAGGGGAAGGGAGGCAGCGGAGAGGGGAAGGGAGGCAGCGGAGAGGGGAAGGGAGGCAGCGGAGAGGGGAAGGGAGGCAGCGGAGAGGGGAAGGGAGGCAGCGGAGAGGGGAAGGGAGGCAGCGGAGAGGGGAAGGGAGGCAGCGGAGAGGGGAAGGGAGGCAGCGGAGAGGGGAAGGGAGGCAGCGGAGAGGGGAAGGGAGGCAGCGGAGAGGGGAAGGGAGGCAGCGGAGAGGGGAAGGGAGGCAGCGGAGAGGGGAAGGGAGGCAGCGGAGAGGGGAAGGGAGGCAGCGGAGAGGGGAAGGGAGGCAGCGGAGAGGGGAAGGGAGGCAGCGGAGAGGGGAAGGGAGGCAGCGGAGAGGGGAAGGGAGGCAGCGGAGAGGGGAAGGGAGGCAGCGGAGAGGGGAAGGGAGGCAGCGGAGAGGGGAAGGGAGGCAGCGGAGAGGGGAAGGGAGGCAGCGGAGAGGGGAAGGGAGGCAGCGGAGAGGGGAAGGGAGGCAGCGGAGAGGGGAAGGGAGGCAGCGGAGAGGGGAAGGGAGGCAGCGGAGAGGGGAAGGGAGGCAGCGGAGAGGGGAAGGGAGGCAGCGGAGAGGGGAAGGGAGGCAGCGGAGAGGGGAAGGGAGGCAGCGGAGAGGGGAAGGGAGGCAGCGGAGAGGGGAAGGGAGGCAGCGGAGAGGGGAAGGGAGGCAGCGGAGAGGGGAAGGGAGGCAGCGGAGAGGGGAAGGGAGGCAGCGGAGAGGGAAGGGAGGCAGCGGAGAGGGGAAGGGAGGCAGCGGAGAGGGGAAGGGAGGCAGCGGAGAGGGGAAGGGAGGCAGCGGAGAGGGGAAGGGAGGCAGCGGAGAGGGGAAGGGAGGCAGCGGAGAGGGGAAGGGAGGCAGCGGAGAGGGGAAGGGAGGCAGCGGAGAGGGGAAGGGAGGCAGCGGAGAGGGGAAGGGAGGCAGCGGAGAGGGGAAGGGAGGCAGCGGAGAGGGGAAGGGAGGCAGCGGAGAGGGGAAGGGAGGCAGCGGAGAGGGGAAGGGAGGCAGCGGAGAGGGGAAGGGAGGCAGCGGAGAGGGGAAGGGAGGCAGCGGAGAGGGGAAGGGAGGCAGCGGAGAGGGGAAGGGAGGCAGCGGAGAGGGGAAGGGAGGCAGCGGAGAGGGGAAGGGAGGCAGCGGAGAGGGGAAGGGAGGCAGCGGAGAGGGGAAGGGAGGCAGCGGAGAGGGAAGGGAGGCAGCGGAGAGGGGAAGGGAGGCAGCGGAGAGGGGAAGGGAGGCAGCGGAGAGGGGAAGGGAGGCAGCGGAGAGGGGAAGGGAGGCAGCGGAGAGGGGAAGGGAGGCAGCGGAGAGGGGAAGGGAGGCAGCGGAGAGGGGAAGGGAGGCAGCGGAGAGGGGAAGGGAGGCAGCGGAGAGGGGAAGGGAGGCAGCGGAGAGGGGAAGGGAGGCAGCGGAGAGGGGAAGGGAGGCAGCGGAGAGGGGAAGGGAGGCAGCGGAGAGGGGAAGGGAGGCAGCGGAGAGGGGAAGGGAGGCAGCGGAGAGGGGAAGGGAGGCAGCGGAGAGGGGAAGGGAGGCAGCGGAGAGGGGAAGGGAGGCAGCGGAGAGGGGAAGGGAGGCAGCGGAGAGGGGAAGGGAGGCAGCGGAGAGGGGAAGGGAGGCAGCGGAGAGGGGAAGGGAGGCAGCGGAGAGGGGAAGGGAGGCAGCGGAGAGGGGAAGGGAGGCAGCGGAGAGGGGAAGGGAGGCAGCGGAGAGGGGAAGGGAGGCAGCGGAGAGGGGAAGGGAGGCAGCGGAGAGGGGAAGGGAGGCAGCGGAGAGGGGAAGGGAGGCAGCGGAGAGGGGAAGGGAGGCAGCGGAGAGGGGAAGGGAGGCAGCGGAGAGGGGAAGGGAGGCAGCGGAGAGGGGAAGGGAGGCAGCGGAGAGGGGAAGGGAGGCAGCGGAGAGGGGAAGGGAGGCAGCGGAGAGGGGAAGGGAGGCAGCGGAGAGGGGAAGGGAGGCAGCGGAGAGGGGAAGGGAGGCAGCGGAGAGGGGAAGGGAGGCAGCGGAGAGGGGAAGGGAGGCAGCGGAGAGGGGAAGGGAGGCAGCGGAGAGGGAAGGGAGGCAGCGGAGAGGGGAAGGGAGGCAGCGGAGAGGGGAAGGGAGGCAGCGGAGAGGGGAAGGGAGGCAGCGGAGAGGGGAAGGGAGGCAGCGGAGAGGGGAAGAGAGGGGAAGGGAGGCAGCGGAGAGGGGAAGGGAGGCAGCGGAGAGGGGAAGGGAGGCAGCGGAGAGGGGAAGGGAGGCAGCGGAGAGGGGAAGGGAGGCAGCGGAGAGGGGAAGGGAGGCAGCGGAGAGGGGAAGGGAGGCAGCGGAGAGGGGAAGGGAGGCAGCGGAGAGGGGAAGGGAGGCAGCGGAGAGGGGAAGGGAGGCAGCGGAGAGGGGAAGGGAGGCAGCGGAGAGGGGAAGGGAGGCAGCGGAGAGGGGAAGGGAGGCAGCGGAGAGGGGAAGGGAGGCAGCGGAGAGGGGAAGGGAGGCAGCGGAGAGGGAGGGAGGCAGCGGAGAGGGGAAGGGAGGCAGCGGAGAGGGGAAGGGAGGCAGCGGAGAGGGGAAGGGAGGCAGCGGAGAGGGGAAGGGAGGCAGCGGAGAGGGGAAGGGAGGCAGCGGAGAGGGGAAGGGAGGCAGCGGAGAGGGGAAGGGAGGCAGCGGAGAGGGGAAGGGAGGCAGCGGAGAGGGGAAGGGAGGCAGCGGAGAGGGGAAGGGAGGCAGCGGAGAGGGGAAGGGAGGCAGCGGAGAGGGGAAGGGAGGCAGCGGAGAGGGGAAGGGAGGCAGCGGAGAGGGGAAGGGAGGCAGCGGAGAGGGGAAGGGAGGCAGCGGAGAGGGGAAGGGAGGCAGCGGAGAGGGGAAGGGAGGCAGCGGAGAGGGGAAGGGAGGCAGCGGAGAGGGGAAGGGAGGCAGCGGAGAGGGGAAGGGAGGCAGCGGAGAGGGGAAGGGAGGCAGCGGAGAGGGGAAGGGAGGCAGCGGAGAGGGGAAGGGAGGCAGCGGAGAGGGGAAGGGAGGCAGCGGAGAGGGGAAGGGAGGCAGCGGAGAGGGGAAGGGAGGCAGCGGGAGAGGGGAGGGAGGCAGCGGAGAGGGGAAGGGAGGCAGCGGAGAGGGGAAGGGAGGCAGCGGAGAGGGGAAGGGAGGCAGCGGAGAGGGGAAGGGAGGCAGCGGAGAGGGGAAGGGAGGCAGCGGAGAGGGGAAGGGAGGCAGCGGAGAGGGGAAGGGAGGCAGCGGAGAGGGAAGGGAGGCAGCGGAGAGGGGAAGGGAGGCAGCGGAGAGGGGAAGGGAGGCAGCGGAGAGGGGAAGGGAGGCAGCGGAGAGGGGAAGGGAGGCAGCGGAGAGGGGAAGGGAGGCAGCGGAGAGGGGAAGGGAGGCAGCGGAGAGGGGAAGGGAGGCAGCGGAGAGGGGAAGGGAGGCAGCGGAGAGGGGAAGGGAGGCAGCGGAGAGGGGAAGGGAGGCAGCGGAGAGGGGAAGGGAGGCAGCGGAGAGGGGAAGGGAGGCAGCGGAGAGGGGAAGGGAGGCAGCGGAGAGGGGAAGGGAGGCAGCGGAGAGGGGAAGGGAGGCAGCGGAGAGGGGAAGGGAGGCAGCGGAGAGGGGAAGGGAGGCAGCGGAGAGGGGAAGGGAGGCAGCGGAGAGGGGAAGGGAGGCAGCGGAGAGGGGAAGGGAGGCAGCGGAGAGGGGAAGGGAGGCAGCGGAGAGGGGAAGGGAGGCAGCGGAGAGGGGAAGGGAGGCAGCGGAGAGGGGAAGGGAGGCAGCGGAGAGGGGAAGGGAGGCAGCGGAGAGGGGAAGGGAGGCAGCGGAGAGGGGAAGGGAGGCAGCGGAGAGGGGAAGGGAGGCAGCGGAGAGGGGAAGGGAGGCAGCGGAGAGGGGAAGGGAGGCAGCGGAGAGGGGAAGGGAGGCAGCGGAGAGGGGAAGGGAGGCAGCGGAGAGGGGAAGGGAGGCAGCGGAGAGGGGAAGGGAGGCAGCGGAGAGGGGAAGGGAGGCAGCGGAGAGGGGAAGGGAGGCAGCGGAGAGGGGAAGGGAGGCAGCGGAGAGGGGAAGGGAGGCAGCGGAGAGGGGAAGGGAGGCAGCGGAGAGGGGAAGGGAGGCAGCGGAGAGGGGAAGGGAGGCAGCGGAGAGGGGAAGGGAGGCAGCGGAGAGGGGAAGGGAGGCAGCGGAGAGGGGAAGGGAGGCAGCGGAGAGGGGAAGGGAGGCAGCGGAGAGGGGAAGGGAGGCAGCGGAGAGGGGAAGGGAGGCAGCGGAGAGGGGAAGGGAGGCAGCGGAGAGGGGAAGGGAGGCAGCGGAGAGGGGAAGGGAGGCAGCGGAGAGGGGAAGGGAGGCAGCGGAGAGGGGAAGGGAGGCAGCGGAGAGGGGAAGGGAGGCAGCGGAGAGGGGAAGGGAGGCAGCGGAGAGGGGAAGGGAGGCAGCGGAGAGGGGAAGGGAGGCAGCGGAGAGGGGAAGGGAGGCAGCGGAGAGGGGAAGGGAGGGAAGGGAGGCAGCAGAGAGGGGATAAGGAGGAGCGGAGACGACTGCGGACTGTTCTGAGGGGCAGGAGGCATGAGTGGGGGCGCAGGGGGGGGGCGCAGGGGGTGGGGAGAGGGCGAGCGGCGTGGACACGTAAGGGGTGGAGGGAGTGTGCAAGCTTCTCACTCGATGACTGTTACAACATGGGATTCGCTATGCCAGCGTGCACGGGAATACCCGAACGCTCAGAACTCACGTTGCCTTGATAGCTCCGAACGGAGATAGTTGCTAACCTCGAAACGAATTCTCTTATCCTCGTCCCTGATAAGAAGCTACTAGAAGCTAGCAGCACTAGAATCCAACAAGGCGTGGCATCGAGGCGCTGTGCGTAGATGTCATGCTAGAAGCGTGGCGATGCGGTTTTCCTTCCGCCTTTCCTTCTTTTCTCTTCTTTCCTACCATAAACATCTCTTCCTGAATCTTGGTGCATCACCTTAACCTTGGAGCATCTTATCATTGTATTCCGTATCATTCTGTAATCTTGGAATCTTCTCAGAAAATAGGAGGCCCCTATCGACTCTCTCAACTACGGATCGCGCAGCCACTCTTCTACCGCTCTCCTTCTCGCTGCGACTTCGATACACTCCTCTATTCTCTTCGCTACGAAAGAACTCTGAGCAGCTCTTCTTAATCACGATGGCGGGCCCGGCCAGCCACGCCGAGCACGGCAGCACGCGCGCCGCTCGGCTGCTCACTCCGGTCCCCGCTGCTGCTCGTTCGCATTCTTCCGCTCACTCTTCGCGTCCCCTCTCCCTCTTCCTCGCTCACCCGCTTGCCCTGCGCACCTCTCGCTCGGCGGGCGGAACAAATTCCCCGCCCTCCTCCTCCTTTGCGCCCATGCCTCCGCCGCTATGCCTCCATCCCGAAATGTGTGAGGTCTAGGTAATTAAAATTTCACAATACGCGACATGTTCACTCTTAGAGACTTGGCTGCAGGTCGCTAAGGGCGCGGTCTTTTGCTGTAGACGTTCGGGAAGGTTGAACTTTTGCTGGTCGACGTTTTCGCAAATTTCGTTAGTCTATTCGCGAGGACATCGTTTGTCCTAGTTCAATCTGTGTAAAAGAGTTTGGACACGAACTAAAGTCGACCTTTCATTCGGATTTTTACGTTTACGTTAAAGCCCGAGTCCCAAATTGCGGGCCGCGCGGGTCAAGCTTTTAAAACTTGACGAACTAGTGTTTTCAAGGTTTGAAGAAAAGCGTGCCTGCAATTTGGGACTTTTGGGAACTGAACCAACCCCCAGGGCGAAATACGAGGGCGGGCTGGGTTTGGCGAAAAAAACGAAAAAAGCGAAATCGGAATCTTTCGCCAAAAACCCCCTCGCGTCAACCTTTTAAAACTTGTGCAATTTGGGCTGCCGGCTTTAATCCAATCGTGTGTTCTTGCCCACGCACAGACATTTGGGAGTTTGGCTTCGGTAAAGAGGTACAGATTACAGTGTTACCAAAGTTGGATTTGGTCACGACAGCACGGCGAAACCAGGTAACCTTAAAAAAAAAGTTCCGCGACTCGGGATTTACTGTTAAGGGTGTGTAAGATCCCCGTGCACACGTTTTGGCTGAATTTTGTCGACCATTTTGGTCGACAAAGCTTTCGCGAAGGTCGACAGATTAGTCGTCACCAGGTCGACAAATTTTCGGCCAACTCAGTGTGGCCTCCAAATCTGACACGGTTTTGCTGGCCGCTGTAACAGAGGTGGAAGATTTCGGTTTGTCCTTTTTTACGACTTGGTGCGACGATGTCGCACACATGAATACGATGTCGCAATTTCACTGTAGCAGCGTATGCGACTTCGTTTCTCACTGTAGACAGCTGCTGTCGACAGCATGGCCGATTTGAAGTCGACCACGCGTCGGAAAAGAGTCGACTAGTTTTCCGGCCATCAAATCACAAATTTGATGGTTGAAATTGACGAGATTCGCAAACCGATCACGAAATGGTTACTTTCGCTACGGCCCCCTAAATTTTGATGGCCGATTCTGTGTGCACGTGGATCTTACACGCCCTAAGAGTTGAACTGTGATAGTCGAACTTTTGTTGTTCCATGCGCGAATCGGGCCTGTTACGCTGCTCCTCGACCACCAAAAGTCTAGATGGTCGAGCACGGGTCGACCAAAGTTCAAATGTGAAAGTTCGAAAAATCACATGAACTGCACCCGAATTTGCAAAAGATACGCGCCCTAACTTGAGATCGCGACTTGATAATTGTAAGGTTGGATCATCACAGGTACCGTGTAGTTTCGTTGGGACAACCGTTTGTGAGATTTTTGGTCAGGCAACAAGAATGGGAAAATATGTCAATGGTAACTTACATGGGGCACTATAACGCGTACGGTAACGATTTCAACGCGTTTGGTAACTCGCTTAACGCGTTTGGTAACTCGCTTAACACGTTTGGTAACTCGCTTAACGCGTTGAAATCGTTACCGTACGCGTTATAGTGTGCCATGTAAGTTACCATTGATATATTTTCCCAACAAGAAAGGTCGAATGTGAAACCCATGGGTTCGGTTCGGCTGGTTTGGTATGGTGTGGTTTGCTTTGGGGATCCGTGACTTCTTTTGTGGGTGCTTCTTTCGCCAAGACCTTGTAACCTGAAACGAAGATCCTGGGTCTCTTGCTTCAAAGTTGAGGCAATCGTCGGCAAAGCTGTTTCCCGATTGCCGACTTTCGTTGGACTTTCCAAACTTCGTTGATTTTCGTCTGAGTCTCTTATCGCCGAGTTTGTCCTCCACATAATCCTGCTCGCTTCTCTGGTTTCTAGAGGTGGCAGAACCTTGTTTGTACTATTTTTGCATTACTACGCTACTCCGCATTCGATAGCAGGTAGTGCTGTCGTGTCGTGAGATATCGTGCATGTCAGTGCGCTGAACGCTGCGACTGGAACCAAATGACATGATGTCGCTCTCGCCAGTCTTCCCATAGCGCGCCGTGAAGGCGACGTCGCCCACGCGCAACTCCAAGGTTTCGCCGTTTTATTGCATCGCCGGCATGCGAGATTCAACGACGTCGCTGCACGCGTTGTGACCCTTAATTCTCTCTTCGCGAGACCCATGATCCTCTCGTCGCTGTGCATGCGATGTAGTTATTGCAAGGTTAGAAGAACGCGAGGGGCGTGATGGCGAACCGATGTCTTCGTGCCATAGTTTTCGCGTGCGCTCGCAACTCCATCGCCGCTTCGCAGCACTACAAATTGCCGCACGCACTCGCCGCGGGTGGATGCACCGCTGCGCCGTAGCAGCAGTCGGAATGGGCGTCATTTGTTTTTTGAGAATTCTCAAAAAACAACTTCACCGCGACGCACTAGCCGCGGCTCACTGCTGCGCAGCCGCAGTCGGAATGCGAGTCATCGCCTAGAGCGGAGCACGTAACCTCGCAGTGCCAGGTCGTTTTTGAGGCGCCTCAAAAACGACCTCTCTGCTGCGCAGCAGCAGTCGGAATGCGAGTCATCGCCTAGAGCGGAGCACGTAACCTCGCAGTGCCAGGTTTCCCATCCTCTGTGCTCCTCGCCCGGGTTTCCCATTCTTTGTGCTCTCGTGCGCGTGAGCTTGCTGCTACGCGTCGCGTCACTTAAGCCGTTTGTTCCGTCTCCCGCCCGAGGGCTTAAACTTCCATCAACACCCCACCCCCCATTCGCTCCCTCCTCCTTGTCTGAACTCCGCCCCTTTCTTTTACCTTTCCTTCCAGCTCGCCTTCCCTTCCCGCGCCAGCAGCGCCTACCATGAACTCATCGTGAGGTGCCTTTTGAGTCGACTCAAAAGTCACCGCGCCAGCAGCACCTACCATGAACTCATCGTGAGGCGCCCAACGTATCGCTGTGACTCATGGCATGGCAGAGCACCTCCTTTGCCCTCCCACGCACTCTCTCCCCACCCCTTTCGCCTTCCCACACCAACAGCACCTGCCCTGTACTAACCATGAGGAGCCCATCTCATCGCTGCGACGCACAGCGGGACGGCATGGCAGAGCTACGGTGTGAAGCCAGCAGCAGCAGTCGTGGTGGTGAGGTCAGTCAACGGCGAGGCGAGTGGGTGGAGGCGGGCAGGAGAGGTGTGGGAGGGAGGGGCGAGGCAGCAGCTGACAGCTGTGGATGCGACATTGTTTCAGTAGCAGCAGTCGTGGAGGCTGGGCTTTGAATCGGGTGAAGCATGATGAGGTGACTGTTGAGTCGACTCAAAAGTCAGGAGAGGTGTGGGAGGGAGGGGCGAGGCAGCAGCTGACAGCTGTGGATGTGCCATCGTGCCAGCAGCGGCAGTCGTGAAGGCGGGGCTTTGAAGCACGTGAAGCACGTGAAGCACGATGAGGTGCGAGAAGATGTCATGCTCACATGCAATGCGAGTTCAGCCACACCTTCAGGCAGCGGCGAGTGGATAGAGGCACACGCTACACTACTATAATACGTCAGGTACGCACCTTAAGTCAGACACACACCCTAGGTCAAACATACTCGTTACTAAGTCGGGCATGCATGCATGCCAGGTGGGGCATACATGTTAGGTTAGGCTAGGCATAGAGGATATGCTACGCAAACATGGTGCTGTTAAGCATAATAATATCATCCCTTCCCAACTGGTGAAAATCGGAATGGCTTCTGATCTCAATTCTATCATAACAGCATGATTCTTCCTCCATCCATCAATCCCTTCTCTGCGCCTTTGTCTATCCTGGCACAGTGACTCATCAGTACGCCTCTGCCATTTTCTCCCCTATCCCAAATAGCACCTGCTCGTTGCCAGTCGTGAGGAGTCAAGCCAACGCATCTTTTTGGCACACAGCTGGGCAGCATGGTCGAGTCATGGGATGTGGTGCGGCAGCAGTGGTGGCGGTGACGGCGGTCAGCAGGGAGTGGGGTGGAGGTGGGCAGGGGGGAGGCATGGGAGGCTCACACATGGGAGGCTCACACATGGGAGGGTGACGCATGGGAGGGTGATGCATGGGAGGGTGACGCATGGGAGGGTGACACATGGGAGGGTGACACATGGGAGGGT